GGTTTAGGGTTTAGGGATTAGGGACGAGGGGTTTAGGGTTAAGGGGTGTGGGGTTTAGGGTTTAGCGACTAGGGTTTCATCTCTAAACATCATAGATCCTAAACCCTACCTTCTACCAGGTCTATATACCTTATAGAAGCCTTATGGAAGCCCTATATACCCTAAGCTCCCCACCTGTAGTTTCCTTTTAACTCAACCCTACCTTCAGGTCGCCGCCCTTCCCGGAAGAAGGCGGCGTCTTTGACTTCTTCCCTGTGGGACCGAGCTGCAAGTGGGGAGCCTCTGCGAGGGTTTCAAGGGTTTAGGGGGGTTTAGGGCTCTGGCTCCCAGGGGTTGGGATCCACATTTTGGGGCTATGGTTTCGTGGCTTCTGGTTCAGGGAGGGTTAAGGTTTAAGGCTTAAGGTCCGGGTTTTGGGCGATTCTTTTTGAGTTTAGGGTCTAGGCTTTAGGGTTTGTTGCGCTGATTTGGGCCAGATTAGGGTTTGAGGGGTTGAGGGTCTAGGGTGTTTGTTGTAGGTTGAAGGCTTAATAGGACGTCATTGTCAGGAGTTGTTTACAGTAGGGCTTGAAGGGTTAATGCAGTTTGGGGTTTAAGGTTGTTTAAATCGGAGTTTAGGATTTGAGGAGTTGCCGGTTTTAGGGTGGTTCTTGGACAGGGGCCTTTTATTTAGGGCTTGAGGGGTTGAAGGTTCTAGAGTTCGAGATTCTTTTGAGCTTTTGTTGTATTTTCGGGGGGGGGAGAGGGGGTTAAATGGTTAATTTAGGGTATGTAAAAGCTTGGGATGAGGAGGTTCCGGGGTGATTCAGGTGGGAGCCCTGGAGCAAGAAGATCGGCACTTTCGAGATCCCCAAAGATGCACAGGCACGGACGCTCTTGCGCTTGGAAGCTTCCGGGTCAAGTTTAACCGTGTGCCTCCCACGCAGGCGCACTCGCTCATCGTCCCCACCTCTGACACCGTGAGGATTTAGCTTTCGTGTCTGAAGCTAGGAGTTACCATGCAGGAGCTGATGTGTAGTCTTAGGGGTGGGTGATGACACAGGCAAGGGTGGGTGATGACACAGGCAACCGCTTGTGGCGGGCTTCTGGTTTATCCTGGTCGGAAAAGAAGCATGAAATAACATCAGGCTGCCCTCATGTCGTGGGAGACAATGCCAAACTTAAGAGACCCCCGACGCGTCGCTGTTGTGCCGGGAATGCAGGAATGCATTCTTCCTCCAGATGCTGATCAAGGCAGAGTGCCACGTGCTCTTTGCAGGCCAGCTTCTACAGTAAGTGCTTGGACTTTATTTGATTTCATTAAAACAGGGGGAGATCCGGGAAAAGAGCTCTAAAGAGTCCTTGAATTTGTGCAGGCCCGACGGGGACTGGCAAGACGGTGGTGATCCAGCAGCAGCTTCTCAAGGGCTTCGACAGGGAGCCAGGACCTCAGCAACTCGTAGCTGACAGAGACCGTTCACGCTGTGCGGCGCATTTGGCATAGTAATAAGTGCGCGCAGCATGTAGTTTCTTGTAGATGCTGTGCCCTTGTGTATGGTTCGCTGACCATGATCTCGAGTGGGAACTCCCTGTCACTCCGCAGGGGTCGACAGTCGGAGAGAGACTAAGTTGACGGAGTGGTGGAAATCCACGGATGGCATGTCTCCTCGCTTCCAAGGTTTCCAGAGAAATGCAGTCCAAAACAGCCACCGAGGAAGTACAACACGTTCGCCTTTGCCTTCAGTGCCCAGTCCAGTGCAAACCAGACGCAGGACGACCCTTGCAGTGGGGATAGATTGAGCATGTGTTCCTGGGATGCGTGTTTTCTTTCTCAGAGCAGTCACTTTGATGCAAGCCATCCGTAGCTTTGGTCGACTACGCATGTCGCACATGCCACAGCTGTCGCACGCAGGATGTGATCGATGGCAAACTGGACAAGAGGCTGACGGGCCTTTGTCCTTCGCCAGATCGTGGTGCAATCATCATCTTGGAGTAGGGGCACAGAATCGGATTTAGGTATCGCAATGGCCTATCCTGATACTCGCCAGATCGCAGCATCAGCTCCTCTCAGTGCAGGAAGAAGGGCTGCTATGGCCCACCCTTTGGAAAGCGCTGCCTCGTTTTCGTGGACGATTTGAACATGCCGGCGAAGGCATCTTTCGTCTCCGTGGACTCTATACAGGGCTAACCTCATTAACAACTTAGACTGTGAGGGGCCCTAGGAGTCTTCCGCGTGAACACATTGCTTTGGCTTCGACGCGTCTAGCATCAATCGGCCCCTGACCACGTGCCATCGCATACCGAGTTGTGTCGTGGTAACTTGCGGCACAGGAGAAGTATGGTGCTCAACCCCCGATCGAGTTGCTGAGGTGCGGTCAGCACGTGGAGTGTGGATTTTTTGCAGGATGCCCCCAAGCATCTGGTGTTTCGGTTCGGAGATGAGGTAGCCAAGTTGTCGGAGCGCTGGTGATTGAATCCAAATTGCTAGGCAGTGGATGGACACCAGTGGGTGGTACGAAAGAAAGACCTGCGAGTCCGGCGCCTGGTCCACGCGTTCTTTTTTTTTGTCTTCGTGTGTTTGGCTGCGAACTTCAAGAGTTCCATCCGGACCCTCCCTAGCCTTGCTCCAGGTATCGCCAATTGGTGGATTTGAACTTCATTGCTGCACTCACCCCCAGTGCTGGTCGGCCACAAATCACCGCACGCTACTTGAGGCCGGGCCTGGAAGGATCTTGTGAGCACTTGACGCTTATGTAGTGTCTGGGTTCAGGGTTCGTACCAGCTACAAGTGGGGCTTGGAATTTAGGGTGCAGGGTTCAGGGTTTAGGGTTAGTGGCCTGGAGCAGGTTTCGGCGTTCTGCAGGAAGGTTTCGATTGCAAGATGTGCCAGCGAGGCACTACAACTACTTCTACGTCTTGCCCTTCGAAGGAGAGAGTCTTCACCGAATCTTTCAGACAGTTCTGTCGGGTCCTTGAGTTGGTGGATATGCCCAGGCTATCTGTCTGCAAGTTGCGCAAAAAGACTCAGGCAGTGGTACCTGGCCAAGTTCCCGAGTCAGGCTGGGGAGACTAGGAAATTTCTGATGCAATCTGTTGAGGACTCAGGGCCGGGCTCCCATCTGACCCCATGCACGCAGGTTGGTGCACTCAGTGGGAACGTCGTCCGGGCAACTGCCCAGCCCTCAGTTTAACGCCTTTTTGACTAGAAGGCGCTTTCTTGGCGCGGCATCGATTCAGGTCGACATCTACCATTCGATCTCGGCCAACATGCTGCCCACGCCCGCCAAGTCATCATCTCGGAAGCGATCTCTCCAGCACGTCTCGGCGCACCCAAGCACCGCTAGTCGTAGTTGTGCTTCCCTCTGCTGGCACATCCGGCTTCAGGTCGCATTACACCTTCAACCTGAGAGATCTCGCCAAGGCCAGGAGATGCTTCCATGTCCATCTGGGCAGCTCTCTCTCTCTCTCTCTCT